ATATTTATAATATTATTTATATTATTTGAATATATGAGTGAATACAGCAGATAATCCAGTAATGGCAACGTATTTGTCCTTATTTGCTTTGTATTTCTTCAGAAAAATATTGGTATCCATTGATCATAAACACATGAAAATACACTTCTGTGTGTTGTTCCATGAGGAAATAGAGTGTGTAGTGGTTAGAACTTTCTCAGTCCTGTCTCTGCAGGAGTAGGACCAACAAAAAGGATGAATTAATTCTGTAGCAGTGTCCTGTTGCCTCTTTCACTCCATTTATCGATGTGTAAACCTAGTTGCGTCTCTGCCGCGATCGCTTTTCACTCCTCAGTTTTAAGCTGTTTGAGATACCTTTGTTATTTATAAACACAGTTCTTCATAGGTGGGGATAGTTCTGATGCCATTCAAAGTTTGTGACTGAAGGTTTGAAGAAACCTTGATGTCGTCCCCATCTCCTGTCTGTCAGAAAGCTGACCAGGATTTTGATGAGAACGCCGCGATTTCATTAGAATAATTGATGGCAGTTGACTCGTTTGTTTTGCTGGAACCTGTGAACACAAGGCATTTTCCTGGTTATTTGAAGCATTTCCAATGTGTAGATAAGTCTCTTCTAAATAAGATGGTAAAAACAAACATGCAAGAACGTGAGAAAGTGGTGTTAGGCAGTATCTGTGATTACCATGAATTGTAATTAATACCACTGAATTGTGTAATATGGTTTATAATCTATGGAGTGTGAATGTTTTAAAACTATCATGAGCCATGTTAATTTTTCTCCAGCTATTCAGCAATCTCTAAGCTAGTCTCTGTGCTGGTTTTCACACATTTGTAGGGTTTCTTTGAGACCTGTGTTCTATTATTGTGTTTAAAAATATTAATAAAAAAAGATTCACCTTATTCTGAACCTCCCATGAGGGCCACTTCCATGGCTGAGAATCAGATCTTCTCCAGGTAGCTCCTGCAGTTACTTGTGAATGGAAGAATAGATCCAAATGGGATATGGGTAAAGATTGATGTGACATTCTTGGCTGTGAGTTTTATTAGCACATTAATTATATTATATTACATCATTTAAGCAATGAATATTTAACTGAGCATTACTCATAATTGCACCTTTCCTGTTCCACCTTTATAAAGTGACCCCACATAAAAAAAAAAAATATAATAAATCTTTTCATAAGAAAAATATAAGTAATTACATGAAAGAGATAAAAATATCACAAGCTAATGACAAATCTTGTGTAATATTCCATTGGGTACATTTGGCAGTGTGCTTTATCTTTCGATATAGTACCAGAAAACTGAAATTAATCTGCCCCATATAAATGTTGCAGTTTCTGAAACTATGTAGGTGACTGTAGAAACTATCCAAAATAATGTTTAAAAGTTGCTTTTTACAATGAATTTACAGAAGTACAGACCAAACCTTTTAAAATAAAAGTTTTGTTCAGAGGTAGAATCCAGTAGGAAATACCCAAGTTTTTACCAACTCTGTTGTATCTTGGGTTACCATTCATTTCATCTTTGAAGAGTTTCACATTTCACAGAGTTTCATAGGAGAAAAAGGATCTAAAGCTGCTGGAGAGTGTCCAGAGGAGGGACACAACATTGGGGAAGGGTTTAGAGGGGAAGGGTATGAGGAGAGGCTGAAGTCACTTGGTTTGTTCAGCCTGGAGAAGAGGAGACTGAGAGGAGATCTCCTGGGGGTCTAGAACTTCCTCCCAAGGGGCAGAGGAGGGGCAGGCACTGATCTCTTCTCTCTGGCCACCAACGAATGCCAGGAGCAGAGGGAATGGCAGGAAGATGTGGCAGGGGAGGGTGAGGTTGGCCATGAGGAAAATGTTCTTGACCAAGAGAGGGTGGTGGAGCACTGGCACAGGCTCCCCAGGGAGGTGCTGATGGCACCAAGCCTGACAAGATTCCAGCAGCATTTGGCCATCATGTGCCCTCAGGGACATGGTGTGAATGTTGGGCTTGTCCTGTGCAGGGACAGGAGTTGGACTCCATCATCCTTGTGGGTCCCTCCCAACTCACAACACTCCATGATTCTATGATTTCAAAATATATAATCCTGTGTATGTATAAGCAGTAATTACCTAGGTAAATAACGAAGACACGCTGCTGGTCAGGTTCCAGTTCCAGTTCACAGTTTGTCGTGTGCTGGGGTTTTCTTGAGCATAATTTTTAACGTCAGTATAGGGAGTTATGGTCACTAGAAACTTTTATTGACTTTAATGCAGAATGATAAAGTCACAGGTAATCCTGCCTGTGGGAGAAAACTTGGTGCAATCTATTAACGATGTATGTCCCATTTTCTGGGGGTTTTTTTAATTGTGAGAACATTGTACTCTGTCATACGTGTCTGTGCACTTCATATTGTAACTGAAGAGCTGGGAACATCTGCAGGTGTAAAGAACATGCTGACGTGGTTCCTGTGGTGTAAAACCTTTGTGTGGGGCTGAGGAGTGAAGGGTTGGTTGGACTAGATGTGACCTTCAGAGGTCCCTTCCAACCTCAACCATCCTGTGAAACCTGCTGCCCGGCCATCGGGATTTCTTAAAGGAACTTTGGGAACGTTTCAGTGATTTTCACCACTTTATCGTTCAGTGCGTGCACTGCCTGATGGTCTGATGAGCGACTCCTCTTCAGAGGGGTCCATCTCATTTGTTTGGAGCACAAATAATTTGATTTTCAGAAGAGCAGCTGGTAAATTGTGGATAAGTAAGTGTAATTAGTTTTAGAACTATGTGAGTCCAGTCTTGCCAATGCTCACTGGTGGGGAGGGCACACATTAGAGTACAGAATTCTCATAAAGTTACTGAGATTCTGTGTGGGAATAAGTCTCCATGCTCATCCAGTTTGCAATTACAAATGTAATTACGTTCTCTGTTGGGTTCAATTAATTTAAAAATTTGTATATGATACTTACAACTTGCAGCTGAACATCAGAAATTGAAACCAGATTAATAACAACTCAATTAAGACACAATGGTGGGAGTTGTAGGAGGGGTGAGTTAGACCAAACGTGACCATTTCCAGGGATGTTTGGGTTATTTACAGAGTAAAATGAGGTGCCTTGAGTGTGTTCAATAAACTTCACTTTTGACTGGATGTGGAAAATTTCAGTTGGCTTTTGGAAGACATTTCCAAGGAGAAGTACAGCGCAGTTAGAGCACCAGAGAGGTTATAAACCCTTTTTCATTTATTATTTTAATGGAGATTATAATATAAAACTGAGTCCTTTTGGGAAAAGTGTGAAACACTCACTTTGTCCAGGTGTTGTGTTGGCAGGATGCTTATTGCTTCTTGAACAGCTTCCATGTGCTCTTGCATACTAAGACTTACTATTAAAAGATAAAATATTTTCATTATTCCTTCAGGATTTATAGCAAGAATAAGTCAAAGTAATTAATAATAGAAGAACAAAAATGCAGTAAGGAGCAGGTTGGGAATTGAGGAACCTGAATCAAGATTTATGTGACTATAATGGAGATCTGTGTATAAGGAAAGTCAGATTATGTTTAAGAATCTGTGTGCCCAATCTTATAGCTATATTAATAAATACAGGTTTGGAACAGTGTCAGATTTAACTCCTCCATACTCTTAGGCTTAAGCTACAACATCTTGGTTTGTGCCTTGTAGTCAGAAATTTGTTGTTGCTGTTGTTATTAATTTTAATTTCCGTGCTAACCCCTTTGGAGCTGTGTGGGCAGCCAGCATTCGTTTTAGCAAACAACTGTCACTTTCTTGTCTCAAAAAATATTTGTGAAAATTGATAAAATAGGTTGGAAAATGTATTGGAAAAGAGATATGGAATAGTTGTGGGAGAGGAAAAAGAAAAAGATAAAGAAACCATGTACATCGGTGAACTTGAGTGAGTGTGGAATAGGTGAACTATCAGAAAGCATTAAAAAAATAAAGTTATTGTGAAATAATGTGTGTTAGGGTGGCTGTCAGCATAGAAAGATTAAATCATTCTGCAAGTAGACTGTGACTGTTTTTAGATGTATCCAGAGCAACAAATGATCAGCAGAAATCACATATTTGCTGGGTTTCAAAAACTTTCAGAGATGAAATGGAACAAAAAAAGAGCAGTAGTGAACAAGGAGAATTTATCCACCTTAAACTGTCGGTGTTTCAAAATACAGCAGGTTCTGTTAGCTGAAACCCAGCAGCCTAAATGTGAAAGATGGCAAGTTCTATCAAAAAGGGTTAATCCTTTGGTTCAGAGGTGAATTATTTGCCTAAGAGACCGAGGGAAATTTTAACAACTTCTCTGTCCAGAACATTGATTCTGTGAAGTGCAGAAGCCCAGACAATGCCTGATCTTAATTTGTGACCCTAAGATTCGTTCCTTGAAGTCACGCTGGTAGGTCAGTCAAAGTGTCTGATTAATTAAAGAAATCTTCTAGAGTATGGAACTTCTTAAACTTGAGAGCGGAATATTTGTTGATCTACATGCTTTTTGATTTTGCTAATATAGATCTAGCAAAAAATGTTTCGCTCTACTACTAAGTGAAGAATGGCATTTATATTTCTGTGGGGTTTTTTGTTCCTATTTAGAAAAGTAAAAGTTAAGTGCCCTTGTAATAAATATGCAACAGTGTTTTCTGTCTAGCCCCATCACAACCTCATTTTTCCATAATTTAAATGTTAAAACACGTCTGTGTTTTTGAGCTGCAGCATCTTTGAGAATCACTTTTACTAATGATACAAATTGCAGAGAGAAAATGGTTGATGTTTCAGATCCCATCAGTTAAAACTGTGCTAATTTTGGGATTAGGATCAACTCTGATTACACGAGAAGGCCTCTGAGCCGACTGTTGCAGTTAATGCTAAATTACTTAATTATTTTTATCTCCCCTCCACACTCCCCCCCCTTTTTTTTTACTACCACCACCAAAATGGCCTCAAGTTGCCCCAGGGGAGGTTCAGATTGGATCTGAGGAGAAACTCCTTCACCCCAAGGTTGTCAGGCATTGGAACAGGCTGCCCAGGGAGGTGGTGGAGTCACCTTCCCTGGTGGGATTGAACAGACGGGCAGACGAGGTGCTCAGGGACATGGGTTAGAGGTGGGATTGGCAGTGTTGGGTTCATGGTTGGACTCGATGATCTTAAAGGTCTTTTCCAACCACTACGATCCTGGGATTCTGTGGAAATCCAGCATGGTGTTTAGAGCATGTTGGTCTACCAGAGCTTGAAGTGAAGCCTGTTTTGCCCTCGGAGGAGCTGCTGTCTCTGGGGGACACCCACCTCCAAAGTGTGACCTATTGCTCCATCCACACACACTGTCATGGGTCACAGCATCTCCCTGCTGTGAACTGCACAGAGGAATGTGTGCCTAGAGGGGCTTTGCAGCAGGTCAAAGGCTTCAATTGGTCATTTAGTTGACAATTAAATTAATAAAATTAATGAAAAATCTGTTGTTTATCTGCTGCCAATGACGGAGTTTTCATGAGCTACTGTTGGGCAGCAGAAGTCACTAAATGCCACTGCTTATCGATGTCACAGTCTTTTTACTTCCTGCTGGAATGTGTCAGGTCCCCTGTACCACAACCCAAAGAGGAGGAGACCCACCAGCTCAGTGCATTCTGTTAAACCCAGAATCTGGGTTTAATTAATTCATTAATTTAATTAATTCTGTTTCTCTTTAAAACAAGCCTCAGCTGAGCTTGATTTGTTTCACAAGCTGCTCCTTGACACAAAAGTGCTTTTGCATCGTGGCTGGAGTTCGGTGCAGTTTGAGGGAGGTATCAACCACACTTTGTACTTTTGGTGTGAAAAACAAAAACACTTTCTGGTGGTTTCTAAAGGGGTCACCATTTATAGTACTTACAGTTGCTTACCAATATAACATGGGTCATTTTCCTTGAGCAACTATGCAAAATTATACTGAGTTTATGTTTATTTTTACACTAAAATACTATTTGCCAGCTTTTCAGTTCAAGAACTTCAGCTCATGTCTGGAAGATGGAGCCTGTTGTTCTCATTCCCATCAGTATCAGTCTGATGGAGTTCTTTTTGCAATAGCAGTATCATTTGAGCTTTATTTTTATCTAAACAAAATTTGACCGACGTTTTGCAAGTAAAAATTTCATCTTCAGTATCTCCTGATCTCTTACAGGTCAATGCACAAACTGACTCAGCTGGAGAGACTTGATCTGGGCAATAATGAATTCTCTGAACTGGTAAGAAATGCAGCATTTTTTTAATAGAAAGGGTGTGTGTTTTGGATGCTCTGGGTATGTGGCATTAAACTTTTATTTAAAAGGCATTATTGTCTGGTGGCCATGTGCAAAATGGGCCAAGGGGATATCATAAATCTGCAGAAATGTGATAGGAAAAGTGGTATTACTTTAAATCAAGATCACCTGGAAAAAAAGGATGGAAAGGTTCTATTTTCATGGGTTCTGAAAATCTGATTTGGGTTCCTTTTTCTCTGAGATAAATGCTGCCTAGAACTGTGGTGGTGTGGAAGAGCTTCGTTTCTTTGATGGTCTCTCCCTGGACTGTTGAAGTCCTTTGCACTGGGAGACTGTGCTCTTCACACAGAGCAGCTGGAGCAGTAGGCATGGGGTTAAAAATAAAGGTAGTTGCAAAAAAATGAAGTAATTATCTTCATTCATTTTCTGGAAACAAGATTATAGAAATCACGAGATAGGTGTGCGTTCCTAAAATAGGAATTGTTGCTGCCTAAATAGCAGCCATGTTCAAGTGACTTAATGTAATCAAGGAGAGGAACAGGTAATCTGTGGCACGGGGAAAGCTGGAGCATTAAATCACAAGGTAGGGCTCAAGGATCTGAAATCTTAACAGTCTCTGAAGTGTCAAAAATTGGCACTGGACAAATGATAAACGGCAGTTGTAGGATCTCTGCATGAAAGGAGGGGGAAGGCTGGTGTGGTTCTTCCAGAGTTTCAGGAGTCTGGTGTCAGCAGTGAGGCTTTAGGAGAAATTTTGGGAGAAAATAGTTAAAGGCAGGGAAAAAAGGAAAAGGAAAGAGGATAAATTCTTATTTTTACCAAATATTTTAATATTTAATATTTTTACCAAAACTTGGACTTGTCAGTGTTGGGTTCATGGTTGGACTCGATGAGCTTCAAGGGCTTTTCCACTCCAGGCAGTTCTGGGATTCTGTTTAGATTGGATATGAGGAAGAATTTCTTTGCTGAAAGGGTTCTGAGGCATTGGAAGGGGTTGCCCAGAGCAGTGGTGGAGTCCCCATCCCTGGAGGGATTGAAGAGTCGTGTAGACATAGTGCTGAGGGACATGGGTTAGTCATAGGGGACTGGTCAGTGTTGGGTTCATGGTTGGACTCCATGGTCTTTTCCATTCGAGGCCATTCTGGGATTCTGTGAAGATTAAGGTCAATCTTCAATTCAGACTTGATAAATAGGAGACGTTTATTTACGGAGAGGATGGTCAGGCCCTGGAACAGGCTTCCTAGAGAGGTGGTCGATTCCACAAGCCTGTCGGTGTTTAAGAGGCATTTGGACAATATCTTTGTAATGTCTTTTAAGATTTGGTCAGCCCTGAAGTGATCAAGCAGTCGGACTGGATGATGGTTGTGGGTCCCTTCCAACTGAACTAGTTTTCTCTTCCCTGTTCTCTTCCCTGATTTGTGGCACTCTACATGGAAAATGAAAATATTCTCCAAAAATGGGGCAGCAGAACCATTGCTAACAGAGACAAATAGTAGATTTTACTACCAGTTATCAAAACCTTAGTGAGGTCTCATGTGAGTTATGGCATGATATAATCCATACCACAGATTTCAAATCAAACTGTGATATGTACAACGTAGGAGTCGGCTGTTGCTTTTGAGAAGGGTGTCTGACCAAGGAGAGGAATTTAAAAGAAAATTAAGGTTGAGAGGGGAAATGATGATTATCAATAATAACCTTAGTGAACACTCTGGAGGAATAAAGAATCATTAATCATCACAGGAGCAACTAGTATAAAATGACCATTAAATAATTTAGCCTGGAAATTAGAATTGGTTTTAACCATTGAAGGACAACAAAATTTCAACAGAATTAGCCAAGGCAAAAGAAATTGTCTTCAAAATACTGATTAATAACTTTTAATAGAAAGACATTATGTGCCAACATGGGAAAGTCAGAGACTGAGCTCTCCAGGTGAGCAGGTTCGTTCTTGTCTGATGGTGCATCAGGAGCTTTTCCCATGTGACCTGGGCAACTGGAAAATCATCTTTCTTGTGGGAATTGCAACATTCCAAGGAACTTAGACTGCAGGAGATAATTCGAGGTCTCTCTTAAGGTCCTGTGATGCTAGAGAGATACAATCATTTCTAGCCATGTTGAAATAATTCCAGTGAAACAGAACTGCAGACTTTTACAATGCTAGAATCTGATTTAGTCAGAACAAAATGAAATATTTAATATCAGTTCCTGGCAGACTTTGGAAAAAATCTCTACAACTTTACAGAGCTAAGGCAAATTGAAAGTCTTCTTTACCTGTGAAAATAGTGTTTAATGAAAAAAAGGAACATACTGCTTAGCCTGAAACATGGGAATATTTGTGACCTGATAATTTTGGATTTTCACAGCTGTAATGAATGAGAAATTATGAGGGAAACTGAGAAATTGCCTTTTTCCCTTTCACTAATCTCCTGTAGTGTTGAAAAGAATAGAACATCTTAAATTAAAACTTAATACTGTAATTTTAAGGCTTGATAGCATAGCACTATTTTAACTGCTAGATATGACAGTTGCAGACACTAAATCATACATAAATGCGATATATCCAGGAAAGTGTTCAGCAAGATGCCTCTGTTAAGGTATTTTTAAGACTATAAATCATGCAAAAGGCAGAGTTTAGAATGTGCTGCAAGATGAGATTTGGATTTTCTTTTCAATGCCTTGTTTCTGAAGCTCCCCAACTCTCCCTTCTCTTATTCACCTTGTTCAGAAATTGTGTGCGACCAGTTGACTGTTCAGAACAGGAATTTTGAAGGATTTCTTCTTTGTATGAAATTATTTTCCAAAGGGTTCTTCAATTTTACAAATTTTGAAAAAGAGTAACATTGGTTAAAGTAAATGAAATGAGAATATTCCTCCTGTCATTATCTGAAAGTCTGACGTGGGTTATAAAAAGGAAAAAAGGAAGGTGAAGAGGGAATTTATTTTTTTTTTTAAGGAAATATTGATTTATATTTAACTAAAAAAAAAATACTGATTTATTTAACTGTCCATATTACTATATTCTTTTCCTCAGCCTGAGGTTCTCGAACAAATACAAAATCTAAAGGAATTGTGGATGGACAATAACTCTTTGCAAATCCTACCTGGGGTATGAACATTTATTTTATGTAATCAAATTATTGTGTGATCTAGTGAACTATTTACCTGGCAGTAAATCAGTGCACGTGCATTTCCTTGAAAGGGTTCATGCTCCTAGTTCATGTAATCATTAATTATTATCAAGAAATACAAGTCTCAGCACAGCCACTGTTGTTGTTTTAATTGTTGTGTTATTACGTGGTAGCGTCTAAAGGGGGATGTGCCTGTTTTATTTAAGCGTTGTGTGGTTTTCCTTGTGAGGGGAAATGATTTCCTCTTGTCTTCTCAGTCACCATGCAGCCAGCACTTTCATAAAAACCCACGGGAGTTTTAAAAAGGAGGAGGAAATACGAAGCACTTAAATAAGCTTCAAATTAACAGGTGATATGGACAGATTCAACTATACTGAAAGCGATTTTGGGGCAGTGGGAGGAAGATATGTTCCTCTAGAAAGCTCTCCACTTAGAAATGGAACCAAAAAAATCCACATGTCAACGTTATGGTCATGGTTACACCTTAGTGCTGCTCCTGAGGTGCTGCTATTTGACTTTCAATTTTTATTGCCATAAACTATTTGAGATTATCACTCTAAAATACCTGCTCTGATTGTGGCTGGAGCAAGTGATCCCTGTCATTAGCATTTTATCTCGCAGGTGACAGATCATGTGTTTCACACAATAATACTCTTCTTGCTGCAGGGAAAATGTAGAACTGGGTCTAGCACGAGCGTGTCTTGGTGTTGGAAGAAAAAGAAACACTTCCTCTTTCAGCTTTGAATGTTTATTAATGAAAATTCAGGTTTTTTGCATTGAGCAATGGCTGGGGTTTGTCTTAACTAGATTACACTCATTTTTAATTTTGTGTTAAGCTGGATGTTTGCACAGAAATTGATAATTTTCAGTCACTGTCCAAATACCCACTTTTTGAATGTTTTCTTAGTGAAAAGAAAAGAAACCAGCTCTTGCTACTGAAACCAGCTGGAGATCAGGAACAGCAGGATTGCAGTGTTGTTGCTGCAAGTGTATCGGAGTAAAAGAAATACCAGATTTACAAGAGAGTGTGGGCACCAACATTTTAACCATTATTCTGGTTCTTTTTTGTTCACAATGGAATTGGTCATTATATCGAGTGCTAAAATGTGTTCCAAACCCAGTCCTGCTGAGCTGTCGTAATCCCTGGTGAGCTCATGTAAGAGTTGAAGATGTTCAGTAAATCGTGGCACTGAGTCCCAAAGAGCATAATTATTTTCAGTGAATAATTCATGTTTCCTTGAATCTGAATCTAGTAGACCTGAGATGATGTTTTAGGAAAGCTTTCTCCAAAACAAGAGGTTGAGAACAGTTAATATTAGCTTTACGTCTTGACTTTTAAAAATAGAAAGGAAATACCAACTGGTAATTGGTTTTTAGATTTAGAGAGTTGCCAGGTTTCCAAGGTTAATAATTCCGTTGTTAAAAAGTAGTCCTGGCTAGAAACAAAGATTGTATTTAACTATTAATATGAGTAGAATGGCAAAGGTTGGGGTGAAAGGGAGATTTTCCCTTTGTACAACAACTCGGATATGGTTAAAGATAAGATGATGATGGATGAAGAAGCAGGGTGCTCCTGCAGGCTTCAGGCTCTCACATGCTGCACATTTACCAGGAAATCTGGGAAGAGTTCCCGTCATGTTGCTCATTGATGTTACAGCTGCAGTTAAACACTGTGGTCACCACAGGGTACTGTTGGGATTAACAGCTCATTATTCAACTATGAACATCTAAAGTCGAATTTTAGATTTTATAAGATGAAGAGGATCAGTTTGACACAGGAGAGCTCTACCTGCACGTCTAGGCTCAGGGACCTTAAGGACTGCTGGGTAGATGTGAGTTCTCAGGACTTTTCATAAGGGCAGTTAATGACAAAACAAGGGGAAATGGGTTTAAGCTGAAAGAGGGGAGGTTTAGATTAGATATTAGGAAGAAGTTCTTCACTGTGAGGGTGGTGAGCCAGTGTCCCAGGTTGGCCAGAGAAGCTGTGGCTGCTCCTCCCTGGAAGTGTTCTCGGCCAGGCTGGATGAGGCTTTGAGCAACCTGGTCTAGTGGAAGGTGTCCCTGCTGCTGGCAGGGGGGTTGGAACTGGATGAGCTTTAAGATCCCTTCCAACCCAAACCAGTCTATGATTCTATGTCCCTTGGATCTGTGTCCACCTGAAGAAGTAATACGGCTGTATGACTGAGAACTCAAACTTTCAGCACATTTAATGGATCTGGAACACATTAATTAGTTTGAGATGTGTCATGTAGTTGGTTCCTTTTGCAGTGGTCTGAACAGGAAGGCTGTTACACCACCACTGATACGGCTTCCGTGCAATAACTGGTAAAAACCATGCTGAGATAACTGAATACAAGCCTGTATTACCGTTGTTTGTCTTTTAATTAAACTTAAAACCTGGCATGTGGTGTCTTACCTGTTCAAATAACACTCTGTACCATGCCATTAAGTCTATAGGGAAGTTAAAACAGCTCGTGTACCTGGATGTGTCAAAAAACAGGATAGAAACGGTTGATTTGGACATATCAGGATGTGAAGGACTTGAAGATCTCCTGTTATCATCCAACATGTTGCAACAACTGCCGGACTCCATAGGTGAGAAAAGCTCTGGATTTCTTGTAAACTTTTACAGCTGAGGATTTCATTTATAGATATATATTTTTTTTTTTTTTAATGATGAGACTTTATAATAGCTGGAACAAGAACTGCCATTAAATTCCAGAGGAGTTTGAAACATCTGTATCTGGACAGTCTGTGATAAAAACCATTTTGTAAAACCAGGGGAAAAAAAAAAATCCATGGTTAGAAGGTATTGATGATTCTGATTTGCTGTTTTAAAGAAAAGAAGCAAAGAAAGATCTAATTGATCTGATCTAAAGTTGCAAGTATGATGGTGATTATGTTAACAGTGTGAAACTCTTGAGGGAAATTGCTGCTCTTAGTTACGCTGGTGCAATTCTGTTTGAGAGCATTAAACAAAGGAATAGCTCAAACGATTCATTTTCCTTTTTGACTGTATTGCATGCATAGAATTTCTGAATTATTTAGAATATATAGAAATTCTGGAAGCTAAGTGGAGGTAAATCACTCTCTACATCTGAATATTTCATTTTAATCTCGATCCCTTATATTTTCTTTCGAAACACTTGAGGACTTTCCTCTCTTCTCTTGCTTCCAGCAGGTGAACCCACTAGATCATCATCATCTTTGATTTTCCTGAGTGCATCCCTAAGAATGTGGAATTGTTAAATTCCCCAATTTTAAATCAGTCGAGACTCCCAAATGTGTTGCTGACTAAAAAATACTGTGCTACAGGAATATTCCTCCATGTCTTTTACAACTATTTTACATTTTGATCTTTCACATCTCACCATAAATTCTGGAATTTTTGCTTTCTGTGGTTTTCTGAGATGCATATGCAAATGGATTTTTAGAGGGCATATAGCTCCTGTACCAAAGGAATAAATGTTGACATTTTAAATTATACATTCTTGCAATTAGATATATTTAGTTCTCGTTTCCAAATTCCTGTTACTGAGTGGTAATAGATTTAGCAGAATTAAAGCAAAAAAGAGTCATTTTAATACTGCATTTTCAGATGACAGCTTGCTGAAATTCTTGTTGGTGGAAATTTTTCCTCTTACACGAAAATTTTGTTGAAACTTAGTTTTTTTTTTTTCTTGGAACGTTGATTTTGAAAAAGTTTTCAACAAAAATGTCCTGCAATTGAAATGAGTACTGTTTCTGGTCTCCCTTTTAATTCTACTTTTCATTTGCTTCAGCTTTCTTATGGCACATTCAATTTAACATTATTCTCTGTATTAATGATATATTTATAGTATTCCCAACATTAATTACAAATAATAATTTTTAAAATGCTATTTCAGCATATCCAGAATTCTTTCAGGGGAAAAAACAGATTTTGAAATGTTAATAACATCCAGAACATGAAAGTCTGTTTCCAGCTCAGTTTCTAGCACTGTAATGGAATATTTTTCCCATTTTTTTCTCTCTTTTTTATTGTTTTCTGCTGTTAGGCTTTGGTAAAGCAGAAGTTTCATTCCCTTCTTGGTAATTGTTTCCCAGTTATGCATCTTCTCATGCTTAAATAATAATTCTTTCAATGATAAGAATTAACAGCATATACAAATGCATTCAGAATTGAGTCTGGTTTTCAGTCTGGTTCTGATTTTCTGTCCATACTTATATATTGTGAAGCTTTATAAATGTAGAATTTACTTTAGATTATTCACTTGATGTCCTGTTATGACCTGAGCACCTTTTAATCAAGGTGACAGGACATGAATTCCATTGAAACATTATCTGATAAGTAGAAATACTATTCTTCCTACACAGGAAAATATAGAATACCTTTTTTTTATACATTTTTTTTTTCAAGACTCCAGAAATACACTTAATATTTCACTTACAGCTCAGCTGAACATTGAATCACTGCTTCATTTTGATGAAACATCTTTTCAGTGGGACAATAACGTGTCTGTGTACTGTCCTCTATACAGATGTTTTCTAAAATCTAGATGAAAGTTACTCAGTGTCAGAAGTCATGGTGTGTTTAAGGGTATGGGAGATTCCAGAAAGGAAAAAAAAAAGGATTAATGTGACATATTTTTCTGTTTCTTCTTCCTTACCTGTTCTGTAGGACTGTTGAAAAGACTCACAACTTTAAAAGTCGATGACAATCAGCTTACGATTCTACCAAATGCGATTGGGAAGTGAGTAAAACTCTCCTGATTTTCAATATCAAGGAAAATGTATTTTCCCTTCTGCTTGCAGAATGTGAGGGTTTTTTTTTTTTTAAATAAAAAATAAGACAAAGATGTCCTGAATTATAAAATCATTTTGAAATGTGTGCCTAACGCCCAGCTTATAACATTTAAATTTGGAGCAACGCTATTACTTCTGTGGACTTACACTGGTGTAAGTGATAAGATTAAATGTATCACATTTTCCAAGAAAGAGAAGAAAGCTATTTTTCTGTGTGAATCACTTGCAATTTAGATGATTAGAGCAGCAAAAGTAGAAGAAAGAGAAGTATTTGGGGGGAATAAGTCTGTTTCCATGGCAACAGCCAGTACTTGATGCTGAAAAGAAAATGGCTGGAAACCTCGGATGTGTGAAGATTTCTTAAAATATTGAAGTAGCAGAAATGAAAAAGTTGTGACAATTTCCTAGGTGTATACATGAAAATGTGAAAGGATCAGGTAAATAATCTTATCATGAGCAGCCCTGGTGATGCCCTTTAGCTGTCATTTTGTCAGATGTTACGTGATTACTGGTGCAAAATTCTGTCCTGTCCTGCTTTGTCTTTGAGTTTATTGCTAAATGAAAAATGCAATTAATTGTCAAATTCAAGGCAAATGCACACCTGTCTCCAAGCCTGGAAACAGGTGATTCTTTGTCTCCTTTCACACTGCACACACCCCTTTCTACCACAACATACCGCTAATATTGCTATTTTTGTAGGACGCCTCTTCCTCTATGTATTCTACTTAAATGCTCTGTCAACTGGGATTTGGGGAAAAAAATCAGTATATCTGGTTCCTTCTAGAGCTGTAGCACTTGTGTTTCCATCACCCCAATTGCACCAGCAGCAGGATTAATGCAGAAGAAACCAAGTTCAGCCTAAATAACGATTGTCTGGTGTGACTGAGCACGTGGTGGTGCCATTTACCCCAAGAAACGTTGGGAAGGAGACATCTGTGAGCACAGCTCCACTCCGACTCTCTGCCTTTGCTCTCAGCACAGAACCTGTTCTCTCTTCAGCAGGTTGTGGCTCAACAAACTATTCCATTAGAAATTCCCCTCCCTGGAGGTGTTGAAGGCCAGGCTGGATGAGGCTTTGAGCAACCTGGTCTAGTGGAAGGTGTCCCTGCTGATGGCAGGGGGGTTGGGACTGGAGGAGCTTTAAGGTCCCTTCCAATCCAAACCATTCTATGAAGTAGTTTTCTTAAGCCAAGGCTGGTTTGAGGTTTCCAAAATTAAAGTTTAGAAGGTTTCATTTGGACTTGTTCAGAAATAGGATAGTACAGTGAGGTCTCTAGAATAGAAATAAACTTTAACCTGCACAGGAAGTGCTTTGCTACTCCTGCTCCCATTTTATAGTAATAATTTCAATAATAATTGAGGTGTTGGTATGTCAGTCAGGGTTTGGGGGGGGAAATGATTGAAATTTGTGACCTCTTACAGCTGTAGCAGTGGAAGCTCAGGGTTGGCTCACCCTGCTGCACTTCTGGCAGTGTTGTTAGATTTCTGTGCTCTTCACGGATACCCTTAGAAGTTGATTATATGAATCACAAAAGGTAAAAAGTTGGTTACACGAGTCACAGAAGCAGAAATCTTATAAACGTTGTGTAGCAATAAATTCTGCTCATCAGTGACAGCTCGTAAGGCTCAAGGCTGTACTGGACACCCTGCAGAAAGGCTGATATAATGTCCAACATTAACAATTGTCAGGGTCAGTTTTTAATTGTTTTCTCATTTATTGAATTGTTCAAATTGAAGGGGAACCTCTCTCTCTTTTTTTTAATCTTACACCTGTTCAGCACTGTTTGTCATGGAGCTTTCATTCCATTTTTAGGTCTCGTACCACTGCTCTGAAGCGTGTACATGCAGAGCAGTAGGCTAATCACCTCCCATTATCACATTATTTTTCAGTGATTGGTTGTGCTTTTTTTTTTTTTTTAAATGAAGTACTTTCTCTCATTTAATGAGGACAGAGTCTCCCACATCAAAATGAGCTTCCTTTCTCTGACTCATCCGTTTGGAGAGCTTCCTACTGGGTCTCTTTCTCCTAAATGATAGTCGTAGTACCCGCTGCGGAGTCTATTATTGTCACGCGAAGATTAGCAATGTGGAGGAGGCAACGCTCCCTCCAGGGACCACTTTAATGATGAGACAAAGAGCACTTCAGCGCTGTCTGAGTCGGTGTTGCTGGTGGTGAAGCACCACCCTCACTTTTGGCTCTCTTGTTCAAAGGACAAGCTGATAAGTGACAGTTAGAGTTTGACCCTGCAAAGTGCTATGCACAGTAGACCCAACTTAATACAACATCCCTCAAGTTGAGGTTGGCCATGAGGAAAAGGTTCTTGAGGCAGAGGGTGGTGGAGCACTGGAACAGGCTCCCCAGGGAGGTGCTGATGGCACCAAGCCTGACAAGATTCCAGCAGCATTTGTCCAACATGTGCCCTCAGGGATGTTGTCTGAATGTTGGGATTGTCCTGTGCAGGGACAGGAGTTGGACTCCATCATCCTGATGGGTCCCTCTCAGCTCACAACGTTCCATGATTCTATAAAATCAATGGATTCACAAGGTTGAGTATCAAATTGGAGACAAAGAATGGAGGATTTATCTGTAGGGCCTGAGGGAATGCCTTGCCCGTGCTCCCACTTGGTGGGTAGGAAGGTGTCACAAGGGAAGGTGTGACCCGTGCACAAGTAATGGTGCAGTAGCTCCAGAGCCAGCATCTTAAGTTAGGTGAGTGTTTTGTGCGTGTGTCTATGAGCCAGCAGTGTGTCCTTGTGGCCAAGAAGGCCAATGGTCTCTTGGGGTGCATTAAGAAGAGTGTGTCCAGCAGGTCGAGGGAGGTTCTTCTCCCCCTCTACTCTGCCCTGGTGAGGCCACATCTGGAGTATTGTGTCCAGTTCTGG